TTGCCTAGAACAGCCTAGGCAAATATGTCGCCAGCCGACACTATCTAGCAAGAAAGTCCGGTCGAGAGAGAGAGAGAGAGAGAGATAGATAGACAGACAGATAGAAAGAAAGAGAGAGAAAGAGGGAAGAAGAGGAGGAAAAATCCGAGTGCCTCTCTGACCACGTTCACCATTCTTCGCACATTCTTCTCAAATAAAGCGATGCTGAGACGTGACCTGGAATCTCCTCGAAGATTATATGTCGTCCAAGAAAGATGGCGAAGCGGATCGTAGAAATAAATATGGTTTGCACGTAAATCGTGGGAATTAGCAAGGGTTTACGTACACGTACCATCTTATGTATCTACCTATATACATTTGTATATGTATATATGTGTACACGTCTCTCTCTTTCTTTCTCTTCCTCTCTCTCCCTCTCTCTTTACATATACCCCACGTATTTGAGTCAGGCGATGCGGATACTCGTGACATTGTGTAACTTGAACTTTATCAAAATAAAACAACAAAAAAGAGGGAAAAAGGTAGAAAGAAAGAAAAAAGAAACATGCAACAAATATATTCGTATACATATAACATAAGAAAAAGAAGAAGAATAGAAGAAGAGAGAAAGAAGATTAAATTCTACTTAAATAATATACTCGAATGAATCCTAGCATAATTTTATTTAACAAATTTTCGTGTGCATTAAAAAAGCAGAAAATGAATTGCTCTTTAAACGAACGACCTTCATTATTTTTATAATACTATTCTATATAATTTTATGTCTGACCTTTTGCGTGTTCACTAATTTTACCAGCTCGCCTATAAAATTTACATTAATAAAATCGTGTAGCCAACCGATTTAACACATTCCATTTTTTTTTTCCTCTTTCGCATTAAGAGCATGCATATTATTATGAGATGTAATAAAAAACATACGAATGAATTTTCGATAAAAATCATATTGATGACATTTCTCGAATCACATTATTTAATCCGAGCAAAGTGACATCGTTCTAACTAATTTCAAATTGTAGACAAGCTTAGGCTATTATGCGCGAAAGATCGCAACATGATTTAAAACTGTAACTTGAATGCACCGAGTCACGTTACTCGTCGGTTTAGCGAACGACTGTTTGCGAGAGACTTACAAATGATTTCTGGACGATCAGCTTTAGAAAGCTTGGCTAGGTCTTACGCGTACTATGTCATGCTACTAGAAGCACTACCAAGATGATCTTATAGACCCTTATTTTTCAAGAATATACACATTGAATATGGTTAAAGTACTGTTATAAAATATTTCAAGAAATGAGATAAAAATTTTGATTAATTATAATCAAATTATTAATATGTAATTTATTTTATGAATTATGTATTATATATGTGTACGTGACTAATTTATGTTTGCCAATATTTATATAGTTGCCAGATTTTTTAAATTATTTTTTCAAAGACTAAAGACGAGTGCGCATATATTATAAAAATTTTTGTTAGAATTCTTATCAATTCATCTACATTAGTGAATTCGGACAATATCCCGGATTAATACATATTAGAAAATCAATTAAGTCCAAGCCGCACTTAATCCGATATCCGAGGATTAGCGAATAACCTCCCAAGGGGGGAAGTCTCATTTTCATGTTCTGCCGATTCTCACCATTTCTGAGAAGAGTAAGAGGGAGAGTCCGAGGAAGAGTGTGCATGACAACGGTGAAGACAGAAATGTATATATATATATATATACACCCATATCTCTATATAGTACAGAGATAGTAATAAGGAAGACAGAGAAAGAGAAATGATAAGGGGTAGAAGCCCTTTTCCCTTCTTCGTTATCCTCATACATTTTCACGATCCCGCAGGAGTCGCTTGCGCAAGCATTATCTTTATACCTTAGAAAAATTTCTTCTTCCTTGGTTCTTCCTTATAAAAGTAGTTGGCTACCTAAATTGCGATTGTCTAACTTAAACAAAAAAAAAACAACTATTGATTGAGTTTCTTTGTTACTTCCTATAGATGAAATTGCGCTGTAAACACGTGCATACAAAGAGATGTCTTTTCTCGTTTGGCAGCATATACCTTCAGATTGAACAGCTTCTGTTTCCATAATCATCGACAAAGAGACCACAAAATGCCAGTTCGTGTTACGTAATATCCATCCGAACGAATATCGTTGGTCATTTTAACTATTCCTAGTATCGAGCGATCTAATAATGATCCGTTTAGCTAGAATTCTTCGTTACTCGTTGTTCCCTTTCTACATGTTATGTACTTTAATCATATAAGAGGTTATGTTGCTATAAAATAACGTGTTTTAAACTTAGTAACAGAAAACGAGTTCATGCACAATGCTTACATTGCCCTTATTTTTATTTCTCATGGTTAATTTTACAAGGCCGTCTCCTACTCTGCTATTCCACTGGCATTAACTTCTATTATTCTTTGGAACTTTATAATTACCTCGTAATACAATTACTTCCTCGAAACAGCTTAGTCATATAATAATATTAAGTATAAAAGCTTATTATTCTTGAGAGAATGAGAAAGAGAGAAAGAGAAAGAGAGAGAGAGAACTAGTCTTACCATTATCAACGTCCATCCTTCATTTCGTTTCATTGATTCTCCTTAGGGTAAAAGTAGCTTCGTTGGAAGGAAAGAAACGTTTCTATTCTTCTTCATGATCAGCTCTTTTTCTTCTTTACAAATGACACAATGACACCAATGTCAAATTAATGAGACCAGGTAGTTACGGTCACTTTTGTCAATTTCTCGTATTCACAGTGATACTGAGAAATTACACTTGAGAAGGGGAACGCCTTCCTAGAATTGTCCTGGCAAACACGAACTTGATCATTAAAACAGACCGACCCCTATAAGCGTAGCCATTAATAACTTTTTGAAGATCCTACTGTGATGAGTTTTATACGATGCTTGGACATCAATCTACGTAAACGTGAATATAAATTGACGTACAAGAGATGTAATCCTTTGTGCGTACTGTATATGATGATTGGTATAAGTAGAAAATCAAGAAGATTTATATATAATTATTAAGCGATCATTTTTTTGAGTGATTTGTTTAATAGAAAATTGTAGAATTTAATGAATCTTTTGGATAATAATAAATTCTTAACGATTTATATATGCACGGAAAATAATATATTTCATGAATGAAAATAGAAGAAAAATTGAAAAAAGGAATTTAGTATGACTTCAAAGTGATATTCTTCTCGGAAGTCACGTAAATTCCCAGTGGTTGCTTTCGTTATCACCGTGCTCTGGTGATTGCCGGGTTAGGGACGGATTAGACTCTCTCCTCCTTTTGCTACCCTCACGGTCTTCGTCGTTTTGTACGTACGTGCTTACGTACGTTTTCTCGGAGAATACGTGTGCGAATGCGGTATCATAATGCGCATGCGTCCTACTCGATTCCTTTCTGTCTCACCCTGGCGATGTAAAATCTACTCGGAGATCTAATGGGAGTACTGCATTTCTAGAGGAAACGTTCTATAGAGAAAGAGAAAGAAAAACAGAAATAGAGAATGTATCGCCGAGATTTGAACGTGAATTCGATTCGTTCGACCTTGAATATTTTACAAGTCTGGATAGCCAATCGACATTGCAATATTCTCGATCGAGATATTACATCTTTTTCTCTTTCCCTGTATATTTCTGTGTGATAGGAATCTTATAGACGTTTTCATATTTACAGAACGTGTTATCGATACTATCCGACGATCTCTCTGACGGTATTTTTTTTTCTATGATTTATTAATTAACACAGATCATAAATTTCGTAGTCGTTTAGTAATCATTAATATATATCGTCTTAACAGAATCCCACTGACTCTCCTAGTTCATGAATAATTCAGGATCGAATTATCTCTATGGTGATTGTCAGTTCGATCGACATCGAAAGCTTTTTTATCGACAGATTTAAAGATCCTCTGAAATATTATTACAACGTTAGGTAGACAAGTGTCATATCGCCCATCAGATACTTCGAAAGATGAATACTTAGTCTATTGATCTTGAAAGACACACAGAATGAGGATCACTCGAGGAAGTTGCGTGTGACATTCTCGATAGTAGTTGTGTGAACGAGTTGAGCTTGGACAAGTGCGCAGGCGCGACTCCTTTCATTAACTGCATCTGACCTTTTCGCTTGCGTTGAATCGAAGAGGCGGGTAATTTGAAAATTTGACATCGTGGTCTGCGTAAAAACACTGGATTAAAAATATTAGCTTCATTAATTTGCAAACGTATTCATTTTTAATACTTTTCGCTTTTCGCAATGCCGTTAAACGTACGCACAATTACGAATAACAATGGTATGAATAAAATTACATGCAATATTTGTGCACAATATTTCCTGATCGTCTATTTTTTAATTATCACGTTTCCTTTTATTCGCGTACTATTTAGCATCGAAAGTATACAGATCCATTTCTTATTATTAAATATCACAATTCGTTGATTTTCATTTGAATTTTAAATAACATTTGCACTAATCAAATCGATCGGAATTAAGTAACAAGTTTCGATTCCTGCCTGATATTACCTTATGAATATCATAACTGGCTTTGATCGAACATTTCAAAAGAGTAATCGAATTAGTCCCATCGCTAGATGCAAGTACGTAGAGAAGATTGAGAGAGAGAGAGAGAAAGAGAGAGAAGGTACTCACTCAGGTAACATTTTCAGGAAGGGTGAGACAACGTAATAGTAGTAGCAGTAATAGTAGTAGTATCTCGAGAAGAACGCATGCGCTCGCGAGAGATCGGCTATCTCCGTCTATTCCTTTCTGTTTGACGGTTCGTTGTACACCCCACCGCGACGGAGGCCGCCACGCGACTATTCCCCCCACTACGAACCGTGAGCGTGTGTCACGCTCCGGGTAGCTCGGTGCGTACCCATTACACGGGCCGGCGGAGGGGGTAAGAGGCGCGCGCGACTCCTTCGTTAAGAGTGGGGATGAGCCGGTCACGGGTGGTGGGGATGCGAATGCCGAGGACGGAGGAGCCGTCAGTAGTTCCGTACCAACTTTCCTCCGATACGTATGTATGTCGGTGCCGCGTGCGTCGCGTCGCGCCGCGATTAAGAGATAGGCACGCACCCTCCTCGTTTCTTCATTGCTTCTGTCATCGTTATTATTGTTTATAACGAAAGGGACACGAAGACGTAATTAATTAATCAAATTAGAAATATACAGTGTAGAATAACAGGGTGATTGAAGAGAGAACGAGAGAACGAGAGAGAGAGAGAGAAAGAGGAGAGAGAGGGAAAGAGAGAGAGAGAGATAACGATCGAACCACTTCGATCGGGAGTGGTGTGTGTTCTCCGTGAATACTTACCCTGGTCCATCGTGTGATCGCACGAATGTCGCGACGCGATGTCGCCCGATAACGGACTCGTCGGGTCGCGAGACCTGGCACTCGACGTCACGGCTATCATCGGTTCCTCCTGACAATATGAGCTTCCTGAACCATTGTCGTACTACGCGATCACTACTAATAAAAGTGCTACCCCTATCGGTACAGCTGGTGCTGGCGAGTGTCCTCCTCGACAATATCCCAGGATCTGTTCCCGCCGTCGCCGTCGTCACCACCGTCGTCGTCGTCGTCGTCGTCGTCGTCATCATCATCATCATCATCATCATCATCTTTAACATCATTGTCAAGATCATCGTCAACATCGTCGCTGTCGTCGTCACCAAGCTTCCTGCAACTTATAATGTTGCTCTTGTCCTTGCTGACTCGAGATTTCTGTCCTATTTCTCAAAGGATTATTAACCACAAGAAGAACTTCGAGCTCGCGTGTGTGTGCTGTCGTGCCTGTTAAAACCATCCCTAAAACACGTGCAACCTTTCCCGTGGGATTATTGTTCCTCGTGTGCATTATTATTCGTGTGTTAGATAGAAGAACGACCACTTGTCTTTCTCTATCTTTTTTTTCCTTGTTACGTTCGTTCTTACGCTATCGGTTTTTTATACTCGTACTACTTCTACTGTTTTTAAGACGACGACTACTACTATTATTTTGGTGCTTTTTATATAATTCCCGTTGTATGTGCTTGCAAAAAATTGTGCATTTATTTTCTTCTATATTGCGTTATTATTATTATAAGATATACACAGTGAGGAACGGATATCGAGCGATGATGACAGCGTTCATGATCGCCAGCAGCACCATGGATCTTTGCCTCAGCACGGTGGTGACGATGTGCCGCGCTTTTGCGAGCACCTCGACCGGTGTTACGAATTGGAGCGTTACAAGGTAAAATATATATATACATATATTTTTAATATATCCTTCACACCACTCCTTCCACAGATCTTTTTTTAGCATCAATTGTGCTCACATACTTTACACATATATATAACACGTATATACACTTGCTATCTTACGCGAATACATACCTAAGATCGATTTTTATGTTCGACGTCGACGTATATCGCGCGTTTACTTTCGAAGCGTGCGCTCGATTATGTGCTTCGAACGTGTACCACGATTGAAACACGCTTCGCCGATCAAGCGTGGGCCCCGGTATATACTCGAATACTTTTGCCCAATCATGCGAGGATAGTATCCGGTGAAATTAGTTTGCTCGATTAAGTGATGCCCGTAACACACCATCGTCGGAGCGAAAGAGAGACGGATAGATAGATAGATAGATATACGGATATGTGTGTATACGGAAAGAGCAAGTGAGAGTAAAAGATAGATAATTGGTCAGGGTTTCTTGTTCGATCGTTTTCGTGTGTTCTTCGAGCATGGCGCCGGAGGACGATCTTCCTCGGTGCTCTGGGAACGCGTCAAATATATGTAGGGCGCCTTAAAATATTCAAAGGATCGATATTCTGCACTAGTCGTGCACACTGCGACGTAAAATACGTACGTACGTTATGTACGACTAGACATACGTATGTCAGAGAAAAGAAAAAGAAAGAGAAAGTTCTTTTTTCTTTTTCTTTTTCTTTTTTTTTTTTTTTGAGTATAAAGATAACCACACAAATGAAACGCGAAATAAGCTTGTGCTATTCCTCGTCGTCGAGGAAATATCGATTTTCCTGTGGGTAAACCGCGCCAGGACGAAATTTTCACGGATTTCTTTCTCTTTCGATTCTCCGGGGGGTTTTTTTTTTCTATCGATATCGGCTAGACGCGTTTGTAACGTATACGTATTAAAAATCACAGAGAAAAGTCTTTTTCTAGATGATCGTTGTGAAACAATTAATCGATGTGAAGAGAAATAGTGGTGAATTTCGGGATATTTTGATGGTCGATTTATAATTAAATACGATACTCGTGATTTACCGAACTGAACTGGACGTTTTATATTTTATATAATATAATGCCACTCTTTTTTCATTCGACGATAATTTTTTTTTTTTTATCTCTACGCGAAATTATCGTTCGTGCCGCTTTAACTTGATTAAGAATCATCGATTTTATGAGAACACACATCGAATCATTTTAAACGTATCTACACTTAAATACTTCAAATTCTGATCGCTCTACCATTTGATTATAGTAGTTTTCCGATGGATATGGATGGCTTATATTAATCTATACGTGTTTTATCAATCAGACTGAAAGAGTGTACAGATACGTGAGCTTTAAATATAAATCGTAACTCAACGTTTAAAATAGACAAACAAAAGGAATATTAACTTGATCGACGTATGTACCGGCTATTTTATATATGTCAGTTTACTTTATATTAAACGAAGATTCATTTACGAATGATAAATAACGTTCTGTTCGATTTATTATTTTTTATACTATTTTCGATTTTACATTAATAAATGAAGAGAGAGAGAGAGAGAGAGAGAGAGAGAGCGAGAGTCCGTGAAAAAAGAATTTACGTTCCAATCGAAATATCAAAATCAAATTGTACGAGTCTCCAATTGTCCTTACATATTTTTAGCGCTATGAAAATGTTTAAGATTCTCGTTGTAAGGTTAATTCGACTTAATAGTACAAGGAAAGTTGGCCCACTCTACGATTTTATAACTCCGATAACGAACTCTCGGTACTTGCGTTAGAGTCGACTTGAATATTCTGCCTTTTTTCAACTTACTAGATTATAAAAACGACAGAAAGAGAGAGAAGTATAATGAGGGTACACGCCTATACGTATAGTACGTCTGCTGCACGTACAAATGCATGTGTAAGCTCGTCTTTACGTTGATACTCTTTCTCTTTCTCTCTCTCACACACACACGTTCATTCACTCAACCCTTCCATCTCTCTCTCTCTGTTTCTCTTTCATTGCCGATCCACCCTCGCTCGCCAAGATAGAATTCGTCGGTGGAATTTTAATTCCAACTATTCCGAGAGCTAAATAGCACTTTAATATCGGCACGTAGTAGCCTCACTTCCGCCACGAAGGAACGAGGCTGAAAACGCGTTAGGAATACTACTAGAACGAAAGAGTGAAGAAGAGAGAAACAGAGAAAGTACTCCGAGAGTAGGTACTTTTTTCTTGTCGAGCGACCATCTTCTTTCTACCCTTTTTTTTTCCATACTCTCAGATCTTCTTTGTCATCAGCGTAATTTCTTTCTGATTTTTTAATTTCTTTTTTTTTTTTTTCTATCCATCTTTCTATCTTTCGTTTTATTTTCCACAAAGATCTCTCAAAGTCCTTTACGTAATAAAACGTAATACCAAGAAACGACTCTTGGAAGACTTTTTGATTACCTCAAAGAGTAAGAAGCTCTCTTATCGGAATTTCATTAATTTTCTTTTACCTTAAAAATCGACATTAATCGATACTCGTTGCGCGTTAATTGCTCTTGTTGACTTTTTTCTTATTGCCGACGAATCGTTCGTTGGGAAATAAAGAGGAGCGTTAGATAGAGTCTGAGGAGATAATAGTGCATCGTTTTATAATCGATTAGTTCCTCGTGTTACGCCGTACGGCGAGGTTTTAATTTACGTCGTCGAATTACCTCTCGGCTAGCTTTTAAAAGCTTGCACAGCTGTTGCTCGACGCACACGAGATATCGACGACAGTAAACCTTTTACTAATGAAATATAATTAATATGATACCACATCGGCTTTTAATACTTTAGATCTATTTGTTATGCAATAATTATAATCAACTCGACCCTTGAGAGATTAGGTATATGATACAAAATAAAACTGATAAAGGGATGAGAAAAAACAAAAATAGGAAAATAAATAATAGAAAAACAAGGAAAGAAGAGAGTATTGTAAAAATTGAAGGACGATATAAACGTTAGGGTGTCCCCTTTGGCGAACCATTTTTCATCTCCATAAAGAAAAGTCTCTTTCTCGATTGGAAAAGGGATTCTCTCTATTCGATAAAGAGAGAGAGAAAGAGAGAGTCGTCCTTCCCTTTATTTCGCGAGAGTTTGCTCCTCTCGAAGCGGCGAGCCGTGAAACGCGGAATGTAGGAAGAAGGAGCTGGTGGAATCGTGTGCTCCTCGTTTTCAGAAGGGCCGATTTGTCGGCGTAAAATTCACGAGTTGGAAGAAGAAGACTATGATATAACGTCGGGTGAAACGAAAGGCTAGAAGAGGGTCGGGTGGGTTGCCGCTAGCTTCTGGGGGTGAGACGAGGCGAGACCAGGGCAGGGCAGGGCAGCAGCCGACGAGACCACCACCACCACCACCACCACCACCACCACCACCACCACTACTATTGCTGCTACTACGACTATTACTAATACCAGTAACTTTCAACATCAGTAACACCAACACGTAGCTCTACGTCGTCGGTTCGCTTTTCCAGGCTTGGTTGCGACCCATCCACTGCCACGAGCACTGCCGGCAGCAGCGTACCACCCTTCCTTTTCGTGCCACCCACCGATCGATTTTCTGAAAGTAAATAAAATTCGTTCCTGAGTAGCCCGAAGCGTCGTACCCCCGCCGCACGTTCGTGTAAAGCGTCAGTGCGCTCTATGTAATGCGATAAATCAGGACACCGTAGATAGGAGCCAAAAGTCATCGGACGCTGTCCTTTACCTCACTCTTTTTACCTCTTCCTCTATTTCTTTCTCTTTTTCTCTTTCGATGTATACCCATCCATTCTTTCTTTCCGTTTCTCTTTCCGATCCACCCTTTCTTTCCCTTTCTCTTTATTCTTATCCTTGTTTGTTCTCGTTCAGCAAGCCAATGAAACTCGATTTCGTTGCCGTGAGAGAAAGCTTTCCGTTGCATCCTCGAGCTAACTAAATTCTATCGGCGACGCTCTTTCAATTTCGAAATTTTGCGCCAGGAAATTTTATCCGAGAAAAACGATACGTTCGTTAAAATATCACATTGCTCTATATATATGGTTTTCGCATTTTTTTTTTCCATTTATACACACAATTCGAAAGAGAAATATATATTTTCATTTCGTTTTATGCTTTTTGTTCTACTCTATCAGCGATAGTAAGAAGCAGACAAAACTTCGATTAACCAGCTCGTCGATCATAAGGGAGGACATTTAATGTTTCTCATTTATACATTTAATTTGAAATTCTACATCCACGTGAAGTATAATAGATTATGTTGCAGAGATCTCGTGCACGATGTACAATTAAGGCGAGGCTGTACTCCCATTGGAACACTCTCCCTCTCCTCGCTACCACCTTCGGCCACAAGCCATCGTACCAACTTGCACGAATGTGATAACGTTATACACTTATGCAAAACAAGTTCTATAAATGGTCATCCTCTTGCATGCTCTACCCGTTACGTTCTTGCCCTTTAAAAATAACGTTCATGTAAATCTGATTTTTTTTTTTTTTTTCTGAAAATGCAGTTTTTTGATAGTCTGGTTCGTAATAAACACTGGCTGATTTTAATACTAGTGTTAAGAAAGTATGGAAAACAAAAATTCTGATTTAAATGTCTCTTTATATAAAAAGTTTTAATTTCCTTTTGCGTCAAAAATACGTCAAAAATTAAAATAGTGTTTGTGTCATCTTTGTAATCATATTATTCCTTGCTCAAAGGCAACTTTTCCTTTTTATTCTTCGAAGAAGTTTTCCACGGGAGTGAATAACCTCTTGGCCGAATGAACGAATGAACGAACGAACGAACGAACGAACGAACGAACGAACGAACGAACGAATGAACAAACGAACGAACGAACAAACGAACGAACAAACGTAGGGGTTGGAGAGGCCGCAGGAGGTTAAGCTTCTGCAGCTGCCACTTGCAGCGTTTGTTTCTCGAGTTTTGAAATTTTTACTAGAGAAAAAGAGTCTCCGCGCGAGGAAACTCAGGAACTAGCTCGAAATATTAATGCGCGGAAAGA